GATTAAAGATTTTTGTCATCTGAAGTTTTTTTTTTCGCCAAAAATCTTGCGACATTTTGATTAAAATTGAAAACCTATTAGACAAAACTGATAAAATTTATGTTTTGATAATATAGTTTCCTTATTTTTTCAATTGCAATTTCATTATCCTGACAATTTATTTCAACAACAGAATAAACTTCGAAATTTGCATTTTTCAAGGCTTTCAAAGATTTTAATTGATTCAAATTGGATCGTAAAAATAGCATTTTCATAAATGGTTCGATCAACAATTTACTCGATTATACATTTATTCATTACGAAATTCACAGACAGCTCCGTAAACGGCATGCTCAAGGTAACGTGGTAAGTTACACGCCCAATCATCCCAAACACCATTTCGTTCCGGAATCATCACCACGCAGTCGTTTAAATAGTAGGGGACGTTATCCGGTTTATCATACTCCCAATTCACGTACCTTTGTTCAACCCATGTATCATCAATCCAATATCGGTTCCTGGCGTCTAGATTTGTCCTATCAGATTCCAATCCAATGAATACACGCATTGCCGAAAGTGGATGCTTCATTGCCAAATCTGAAATTTAATAATTGAATTAAATTAAACACAGAGGAAATAATTTCAATGGCATATATATGGTTATATTATAAATGATAGATCCATTTGAAGTTATTTTAATATATATTTCATACAGTTAAATAAATCATTAAAAGTTTAGTCAAATTTACTGGAAATAAATTGATTCTCTTCTTTTGAGTTGATGGCTACAAGTTGGGAATTATAATTTGCGCATTCAATTTTCGCGTTCCATGCAGTAATTCCTTCGGCTTTTATTATTACCTGAAAGAATAGTAATTAATTAATGAAAGACAGCTCTTAATGAAAAATAAAAATGTTAATTAGCAGTAATGTAATTATTATATTTATGAAAACATTATTGGGAAAATTTTATAAATCAATGTTGAAATTTCAACCTTATAACATTTTGTCGAAATTGAATCATATGCAAATCCCGTAGGACAATTTGCTTCTTCTTTCTGATCTTCTTTTTCGAGATATCTTGTTTGGCAAACAGTTGCCCAAGGTCCTGTTACCATGTTAGCACTACATGTCCAATCATCCCATTGTCCTTCAGCAGCATCTATCACGACACATCCATCATCCATCAAATTATCATTATCTGGTTTTCCAGGTGCCCAGTTCGTATAACCCAATGTTGTACCATCAGAAAAGTACCGGTGTGCAACGTTATATGGTACAGATTGTAAACCGATGTATGCGATTTCGGCATTCTTGTCCACTAACAAATCTTTAATTGAAAAATAAAATTAAATTAAAATTTAATATCAATATAAATTTTTACAGATGAAACGTTCATCTTTTCAATCCTCATATGTCACATAAGTTTGCCATTTGAGTATATCACCAATTCTTACTGTAATATTTATCTTTTATTTGGTTTCATTGTTTTTTTTTCCCATTCTTAACCTTATAAATCATAAACGTTTCTTTAAAACTAATTCAATTAAATAGTAATTTGTCAATTTTTACTAAGATTTGCTAAAGTTAATAAAACTTCAACAGTTTTGATTTTATTTTAAAAAAAAAATTATGAAAAGTTAAGATACCTTTGATAAAATTATTTTCATCATCAGATTCAATGGATGCTAAAAAAGGCATTCTCTTTTGCGCACGTCAAACGTGCATTCGTTTGATTCATCGGTTCATCCAACCATTTTACTACCTAAAATTGATTGATAAATAAAATTAGAAAAATGATCATATTTATGCAATTTTTAGTCTTTTTTTTTTATAGCCATTAATATCTGCAAGTAATAATAAATTAACTTATGGCGTAAACAAATAGCATATATCATGCTAAAAGTCAATGTAAGGATAAAAAAAATTACCATAAAACATTTTTCGGAGTTGACATGATAACTGAAACCAGGTGGACACGGGGATAATGAATCAACAATTGGGAATACTGCAATAGGATGTTATTAATTTTTGAAAGAAAAAATTACTTACTATAAATAAAATCTGTACTCAAAATTGTAATAATCAAAATTGTAATATAATTTTGATAATCCATTTTGTTAAATTATTTAATTTTGCATAATTCTTCTCACAATTAGCATCTACTTTCAATAAACCTTATTATAAGCAATGGTTCCCAATGTTTTTTTGACCAACGACTATTTTGGCTCGTTTATTTGTAGCTAAGAGAACAAAGCTCCAAAAGTAACAAGTTCTATCAATTTAAAAATAACCTTTAAACTTTCAATGTCATTTTATCAAGCACTGATAGAGCATGCTCCCGTCTGTTTTCTACTTATCATCTTGGCGTTTCCAGAATTAAAATTCTAGCAGATTACCTGTGGTCAGGAGTTGGGAACCACTGCAAAAGGGTAACTTATTTGGAGAAAAAAGAAAAATGTACTAAATTAAAATAAATCTTACAACAAAGTAATAGAGAGGAGCAAAGTAGTGATACCAAATACATAGCTGCTGAAATTTGTAAATTGCAATTTTATGTTTTAAGCCTACGTTTTTATATGTTATATTACGCTTCTATCAATCATTGAAAGCCCATGAACTTTGGCCATTTTCTTTTGTCCTCAAAAATGCTAACAGAGCCATAACATTCATTCATATTTAAATATTTTATACAATAAAAAGGAATGAATGACATGATCTTTGCTTTTATTTTGCTAATAATCAATGTTGAATTAATCTTTGATTAATAAATTCTAAAATTGGGAAAAAAAGAGGAAAAATTTAATCCTTTGAAATATATAACAACGTTTGGATATTTTTTTAAAAAAAAATAGTCTAAAAGGTTAACAATTGAAATTTATTGTTAAAATGAATTGTTTTAGCAATTTGTCCCAACAAAAATGATCAGTTGGTAGAAATTGAGTGAAATATTTGATTTGCAATATGGTAGGACTTTTAAATCGTATGAAAATTTCACAGATATGATATTTTTATCAA